AGATGTGAAAAGGAGGGTGGTTTGTGGAGGTAATGGAGTACGGAGGAGATATAGGAGTTTGGAATTTTGGGGATGTATGGGGGCGGAGTAACTTAGAAATTGAAGAGTAGGATGTGTGTAAGAAAAGCTGATGATTTTGTGTGAACCTCCAGTTCAACATAAATGACAAATACTGTACTATAATTGCGCAGAATTTCATCCAACCACATGAAGAAGAGTAACAAAAAATTAATTGACAAGCTAAATACTAGATCTCTGTCTTAATTGTTCAAAACTCATAGTTATCGGTTGAAAGAAACGGATATAGCGGTGATAGAAAGAGATGACGATGTGAAGACATCTTGAGAGGTGTGTGCAATTAATTGTGGAGACGGATCTTGAACCACCATTGAGGGGCGAAAAATAATGGTAGCAGTAGAGCTGGACGATGTAATGGATAGTGCCCTATTTGAGATGCTGAGATCAGTTGTTTGTGGGCGGTTGTGGACTAGAGTCGTGGAAGAAAGCTTTTGTCCAAGAAAAATTTGACTTCATATTGAAATTGGATATGACTAAGGTTGAATCTGCAAATTAGGTTGGATTTCAAGTCGTACATGGAAATCGAACCAATATTAAAATCCAATGGGTTGTCTGAATCGAATTTAGTTTCAACACTTTCTTTAAAAATCTTTCAGTTTGAAATTAAGAGCCAAAAAAAAAAACAAAATACTAACTCTAAGAAAAATTGATTTTTCTTTATTTTTTCGGAGCCCAATGGTAAAAAATTTTCACAAAAAAAATACTCCTTCCGTCAAAAAAAAAAATGTCTATATTAAATTTTTAAATTTGTATTAAAACTAGTACAAATCTCAAAACTCAATCAGGACTATTTTTGTGGGGACGAGGTAATAATAATTTAGATATCTTTACCATATATAAAAGTTACATCCGGAGACCTGAGCCTGTTTAGCTACGTCAGGCAGTCAAAAATTCCGCCGTGTCAACTGTTTAGCTACATCCTGTGTATTTTTATTTTGGTTCAAAATTATGTTGTAAGGTATGAAATGTCTGACAACTGTTTGATTTCGGGCATCAAAGAGATTTATTTAAGCCAGTTTGTAACTGTAAATTTCTCATAAAATGATATAAAGATTGTCATAAGTTGAACAACTCCAATCCAGCAAGATGCAGATTAGCATCTAGAATGAGAAGTTCAGAATATCTAATAATTTGATGGTGTTTAATTTTGGTCTTCATATTCACAAAAAGTTGAAATTCTTAAAAAGCCTGGTTAAATCAAAGATCTTCGGTTGCTTATTACTTGTATAATTTGGAGGTTCCGTCTGAAAATCTTAGACTTGAATACTACAAGTTGCGCTTATTTTTTCTTAGAACTTGCATGGTAAGTGTTCGATTGTTGGTGTCTAATAAAATAGAACACTTACGCTCTTTACCTATTAGGTAAGGCAAAGGAAATATCCCGTGACAAAGTGAGTGAAACGAAGCGTTAGACACATTTGTATTGTTCTTAGCAAAGCTTAAATTGAAAGTTGTTGTAGTCCATGTGATCTGTTTCTTACTACTTGTTAGGTTTCAGAACCTACAGTATTTGTTTTCAGGTTCAAGATAATATAGACAACACTACATGTCTTGATCATTGGTGTTATATATTATCACAGACCAGAGAACTTTCTACTGAGAAATGTCTAGATTGGCTAGATGTACAGAGTACTATATTCTTTACACATCTATTTTGGTTCTCAAAACAATATTAGTCCTCAAATGATGATAGTAGCCATGTCATTGGAAGATAGCAGAAAACCATTCATTTGGGTGATAAGTCTTCCAGTTCATTTGATCCAGAAGCTGATTTAGAGCTGAATGGTTACCCAAAGGATTTGAAAGAATGAATGAAAACAACCAATCATTGGTTGTTAGTGCATGAATGTGCACACAGTTTGAGATTTTAAGTCACAACTCAAATGAATCATTTTTAAGCCATCATGGATGGAATTCATTATTAGAGAATTTGCGCCAATGTATGCTCATTACTGGGCGACCAGTTGCAGCCTAACAAAGGGTACGATTCAAAGACACTAATGGAGGATACGACAGTGGATTTGGAGTTATACAAGGCTCTGCAATGGAATTTAGATCCATGGATATTAAGGTTAGAACAATGACTCTTGATAAATAAGGAAATGAAGAAAAAAACAGTTTGGTCATCTATATTGCAGACTCGTATTCCACAAGATTACATTAAAGTCCAGTAGCACATTTCAATTCTCATATTCGCAAATCCTTTGTAAATTGAGATGGATTGTATTTTGTGTTAATATTAAATAAATTATTAGCCTTGTGCAAAACAAATAGTCAATTGAACTCATCAGTTTCCTTTTAACTAATGACTTCAAATTGTCCAATTGACCGCCCCTTGTGTGGTCCTCTTACTCTACATATTCTCTCTTATCCTTGATATAAGATATTTTGATTTGTCTTAGATTTAATCTAGTATATATTTTTAATCGACGAAAAAACCTTAAAAATATTTCATAACAATCAAGAGAACACAACGAATATGAAAATATATTTTTAAAATTTTTTTATCAATTAAAAATGTGCACTAAGTAAAATCTAAAAAAAGTCGAAATGCCTTATAATAAGGACCAGAAGAAGTATAATGGTCAATGGGATGACAAAAGACAAATCCAAACCAATGAACAGTAACAAAATTAGAAAAAGACAAATCCTTGACCGAAGTCATGTGCAAACCACGTGAAAAATGCATTGCCGTTAAGACTTAATTCCATAAAACAAATAAAACCACGAGTTTGGTCGGTGACTTGAGTGTGAGATTGACCAAGCTCGAGCTGGCTTCCTAAGAATGCGAGTCGAATTTGAGTTCAAACAAAACTTGTTCAATAGCTCGGCCGTATATATATATATATATATATGGAAAATTCTATAGTCCAATTATAAGATTTTGACTAAACTATTTAATTTTTGCCAATCCAATGAAAATTTAACACATCATATAGGAGTATGGGGTGAGATACATTTTAATAAATCCCGATTATATCATTTACCTGGTGATCATGTAATTTACTACGACATTTATTTTACATTACCTAGACAAATTAAATTAACTATGAAAAGGTAGAGCAACAGAAATCAATCTGATTCATTCCATAACATTTTCTTTAACGAAAAAATATTGCTTTTAACTTTTATGAGGTGGGAACCTTAAAAATAAGTCGGCATTTCACCATCACTTTCATTGTCGTACTCATCATCCCTATTCAAAATTTACGACGAACTCCAGGTGCCGTTGGCACTTGGCACCTGTTTCTCTGGCAAAATTTTTGTTGTTTCAGAAGTCTTATTGAAGCTACGGCTGAATTTTTTCCTTGTTTCCTTTCTGGTTTTGTGAAACTAATTTCTCACAATCCTTTAGTGAAACATCTGATGCGCGTTCCTCTCTCTTGTCTCGGCAATACATCCTGAAGTTGTTGCAATCGAAGTTGAAATTTTTCCATTTCATCAAATTGTTATTTGACAAACAAGGAAAAACTGATTGCTCATGGAAAGAAATCTTTTCAAATTGAAAGAAAACACACTGAAAATCTCAACAAAAATGTATTTTCAGTAAATCTCTCAGCAAAACCATTGTCACATTGCCTTCTGATCCAATGTTGCAGCTTTTCTAACAGCAATACGAACCCACTTAGACCATTAATGTCTTTATCGTCGACTACAAATTATGATGCTTCCTACTAGAGCTCCCAATAGACATTGTTTTGTTCATACATTGCAAATTCTGCTCGAACAATATTACTTAGTTAATCCAGTTAAGTTGGGGTTGCAAAAACAATTTCCAGTTACGTTCTTCTTAGCAAAAAATTGAACAAGAAACAAATTAACTAAATATTTATTTATAACATAAAGGATTCATATGTTTTCTCCCTCTCAATTTACACATTATTACTCATCGCACAACATAGATTTTCGATATGTAAGCATTCAGGTCAATTAGTTCCGGGTTGATATGGGTGTAAAGTTGTTTAACTGAGTTCGATCATATTAGTTCGATTCAGAGTTAAACTCGATCTCCGGAGAATACACAAATAAGAGATTTACGCATAAGACAAGTCGCAGTTGCAGTCAAAACCCCGATTAAGTAAGAAGAAGCTGGTAGTTCTTGAAAAAATTGAATGATACTTGATAATTGAAAAACAAAGAGGAACAAGAAGATATGAGGATCGAAAATAATTAATGCTTTGCTGGAATCTGAATGCCTCGGTGAAAAATCTTGTTTAATCAAATAAGTTTTCTTATATTGTGATCTAAAAGTCTTTAAATTTTCTTAGCACAGTCATACGTGATACATCCCAAACCAAATTCTAATTTACCTTAAAATTCAAAATTTTGATATTAATAGTGATCTCAAATCCAGAAAAATATAGCCTACACCAGGCGAACTGAAAAAAATTCCACTTTAGCCAATTCTTCGGAGACACAATCACACAATGGCTGACTCAAATACTCGGGATGGAACTTAAATACGTATCTCTCATGAAAAAACAGTTACAAATTTTATAGGATTAAATTGGCTTTTTAAGAAGAAGATTAGAGTTGACGAAGAAATATGTATTTTATTTGTTTGTGATAGGAATCTAGGCGTTGATGAATTTCGGGACAATAATGCTAGGCATAATTCATGGGAATTTATCCTATGTGGCTAGGTCTTGTTTCTTTTATGATGCACCCCATCTGATTTTAAAGTAATAGATAATTTATTTCATTTAACGGCTGTAATTATTGACTGAATCATTTAATCAATCGGACCATAATAGCTCCCTATATATATATATATTAATAATATATATATATATATATATATATTAATTTTGAGTTAACGAGTTAAGATGAGATTCTTGTTAAAAAACTAAACCGAACTAGAGCTCAAAATTAAGCTAGTTCGAGCTCGAACTCATCCAAGCTTTTGCATGATTAAAAAATCACTCGTTACGACACCCTGTTCTTGGGACGGTTGTTGCATCACAAAAAGGTATTACATGGGACCCTTGCAGATTCATTGTGGTTGCATTCATCATCTAGCCAGATGCAAAATTTAACTCTTAATTGGCAAAAAGATTCTAATTTTTAGTGCAATAAGTAACCCATTACATAATATATGCTCCTTACTATCTGAAAAAAATACACATTTACCCTAATTGATGCCTCAACTGCATTGAATATATTACTCCTATGTCGCATGTCTCTAGCTACCTTTTCTAGCAGTTACTACTTGACTTGAACTTAAGCACGGATCAACAGATCACTAGTTATACAATGGGAATATAACACAAGTAAATTAAGAAATGATGTTCAACTTTTAGGTTGGACGAAAGAAATATGAAGCTAAACTTCAGGCTTAAAGCTATTTCATGCCGAAAATAGGTTGATTAAAAGTCTCTGATATCTAGATAGACAATGTAGAACATTTTGAAAGGAAAAAAAAAAGAAAAAATCAGTACCAGATCTTAGCTATTAAATCTATAATATCAATTAAACTAGACTACAAGAGAATTCACAGACATAAAAGAAGGGAAAAGGCAATTTATAACTCAACTCCATTTAGTATTTCCATTAATTTTCCAAGTTTTTCAAGTCATGGTACATGAAAGAAGCATCCAAATCTTATTAACATTCCATTCTTTTAGTATCGGTACACTATTGAATTACAAGCATAAGTGAAAAATCAATGAAGAGAAGGGGAAGAAAAACGATAGAGGAGCTGACAAAATCAAAGACAGGTAGCACAGGCCTGGAACAAAGTGTTTTAAGCTACTGAACGATGGTTCATATCCAGGACGCTTATGAGTGAGGACTGAAGTCATTGAGGCCCCAACAATCATTTAAATAACATTTTTGGGAATTTTTACAGGTCAAACAGTCCAAACGCAAATGCCAAGCTGGTAGGTTTGGAAGGGAAAATAGGTGATGGATTCTGGCCGACCTTTTTGGAAAAGAGAAGCAAGGGGATGGTAAGGATAAATTATGCACATGTTAAACATAGGAAGCCATGTAACATAAATTAAATTTGATGAAACGTCGATGAAGAGAATTTAAAAAACCTAAATACAAGACTTCCCCCCTTTGTCTTAGTATGAATTGTATATCCAACATCTCATATACTTTAGCATCCATCATTGATTTTAGCAGGTAGCTGGTTCAGCAGTTGGACTTCAACTTTATGACTTGTATAACTAGAAAAATGAAACTAAACGAGAAATGATAAAATCAAAGTATTCTCTAAAAGAACTGGAAAACCAATGCATATTTTATAAAAGTGGAGACAGAATTCAACAGCTTCCCCTTCCAATCAATCATGAAATAGGAAAAGGGAACTCCAAGCTTTCTCATACTGTGGACAAACAATATGGTGAGATCTATTCTTATTTGTTTAGAGGAACAATGGTGTGAGATTGGGCCGTGTTAAAGAATCCAACATCAGCATGACTATGAATTCTTTCCCAACAAAAAACAGCAATTCCCACTTTGAAGATTCAATCTCCAACATCTTCTTCAAGGGCCAGTAAAAAAGCTGAAGAGTTGGTTTACCAAACTGACCAATCAGGAAGGGCTTTGAAAAAAAGACTAAACAGAGTAGCATTCTTGTATCCTAATCAGATGAAACAACTATTTAATCTTTAATAATATGTGAACACTAAATTATCTTCAATAGTAAAAACTGCAGGTTCAGACACTAAATTATTTTGGTTTACCAAACTGCAGGTTCAAGGACTTCAAGATAAAAGGAGTTTCTTTATCACCACATTTTTAGTTTAGAAACAAGTAATAAGCAAAAGCTAACTGTGGAAAGGTACGTCGAATAGTCACCTGAAAAAGGTGCTATGCACAAGGACAGAGCCTCCTTGTATGCTGATGGAAACCATCACACGAAAGAATAGATTGTTTTTCAGTGTATAAGCATGCTCCAGGGTTCTGCAAAACCAAAGGAAATCAAGAGTGTCATGTACTATTCATCGAAATTATTCATGTAGTTATCACACATAGATAATAGTAGAAAGCAAATCAGCATCAAACTCTACAGAATCTACTTTGGTTGGCACGTCAATATCAGAAGGCCCTGGAGATGATGTGACATGTCATAATGGCTTCAGAGTTCACCTGGCATCAAAGTGTCTTTTGACTTCAACTTATAACTATAAATAGAACAAAAACTAAGTCTTTGTTTCACTATTTTGAGCCAACCCTATTGATTATATTGAGGCAACTGTATGCTATCAACACCATGAACGTTAGTTATCTTATAGTGGGATCAACTAAATGGATCAGTTATTAACTAGAAATGTGCAAATAAAGATTCATGTGAAAAAAAACTGCCAAAAAATCACTTTAACAAAAATAATGACGACTACTTGAAAGACTTGCTTACAATTGCAGTTCCTAGGCCAAAAAAAAAGGCGAGCAACTGAAAACAAATTTTAGGAAGCATTATACATCTGTATATAAAAAGAAAAATGTTTGTTACACTCAGACAGACAAATAGCACCCAATAAATGACGTTTTCTGAACTTCTATTGCGCAGCCGCCTCCAAAAACTGCCATAGCCTATGGTCTACCAACCCAACTAGACCACTAAAAGCCAGATACTAACCAGCTCTAGGCGGCTTGGTCACCACCCAATAAGCTGACCATTGCCACAGTGTTAAAAGGAGGAGAGATAAATTGTGAGTGTAACAGATTTTTCTTAGATGAAGAAATCTTTTTAAAAAATGGGTAACTGATAAAACTGGGCCTATAAAACCTTCCTCTCCAACATAAAACAAAAAGCTACATACAACAACTGCAACAATATCCCAGTATATTCGAATTCCGAAGGGGTCTAGCGGGTCAAGTGTATGCAGCCTTAACCCTGTATTTAAATACAGGTTTCTGTTGTGACCCAAGATGCATCAGAACTTTGACATATTTATTAGACATTCAAAATTACAAGCACATGACAGTTCACTCTCACCTAAATTTTCAATTCCTTTATGCCATGGTTCCTTCACATCAAGTAAAGCATTGAAAATATGGCAAAATTGATTATACTGGTTCTTTAAGTAATAAACTAAAATGGGGTGATTGCAAATCAAGAGAAGAAAAGTGCATCTTCCTAAATGCAATAAAAGAACTCCCATACGCATTGAACAAGGCAAGTTGACTTATTAATGCATGACATGGTGATGAATGGATCTATAAGAGTGTGATACTGGAAGACTCTAGCAGTAGAATAGTTAGAATAGTTCTGGCATGAGAAAAATTAGAATTGTTCTATTTTATTGTTTTTAGAGGCTTTTGATTCTTTTGGTAGTTTCTAAAAAAGACTAGTGATAAGAACTTAATTTTGGGAATCTAATCTTTATGATTTCAGAGATGGCTCTGTTTTTCTTTTCCTCCCGTTAGCATTTAACTTTTTTTGTTGCACCATCTAATTTGTATCAGAGCCACAACAAACATGGCGCAGGTCCTCACTCTCATCGTCATTCATCTGATACTACCTTTAGCCAAGATAGTATCAGTTGAAAATATCAAGGCAAAACATACATTGTGCATTCTCCCACATGAACAGACACAAAAATGGTGATGGGAAAAGCAAATCCACTTTTATCTATATAGTATTGACAATGAGACGCCTGTAAAATACTACTCACCTTCATTAAAAATGAAACAAAGTTACACCTCAATATGAAATGAGAACCTTGGAATTCAAGATTAGGTGAGGAAGTAAAATAATAAGCAAGATCTTTCGAGCACGAGTAGTTTATCATAAAGTTCGCATTTAAATCAGCTTGGATAGAGTATAAGCACCCATAGTTGACACAAATTTCCCAGTTTCAAACAGTATGCTCTCCAAATCAACTTCCACAAAAGCAAAGAATATCACAATTGAAATATTTCTGTGTCAAATGCACTCTCTTATAACCAGGACAATGTTGAATAAAGTGTATTAAACGGAACCCAAAAGAACAACTCCAGAAGAACAAGTACCAGATGGCTTGGGGCATCATCAACTACTTCGGCAGGTTGATCTGCTCCAACACTAGCCAAGCATGATCCTTTGCAGCTAAAGTACTTCTTCATCCTGACACAGAAAAAAAAAAAAAAGCATTGAATGTCTGTACTGAAGACTGTTAATGATTTTGCAAGAACGATAATATCATCATCTTTGTTACACTACGTGGGATATGATTTCCAAAATCCTTTGAGAAGCATATAACTTCAACCTTAAGAAGTCAGTTTGCATTCTCCTTGTCCTCTCCCTTATTTAGACGTTACCCCCCAGTAATTGAGCTGTCTTTAACGCAAATCTTCGTTTTCGTGTAAACTTCTTTTCAATACACTAAATTTAAGAGTTATGTCTCAACTCATAATACAACCTCATAAACCACTTCACTTGGTTCCTAGTCAGGAAAGTAATCTCATCTAGCATTTTATTGGAGTAAAAGAAAGTTGAGAATCATAGATTCGACGAAAGGAACCAACTCAGTAAAGTTGCTAAGTGCAGTTGTGTGATTAGTTGCAAAGTTTACTTTTAAAATAAAATTCAGGATTGTTTGAGAAAATAAGAGATGTCGAGATTTGAGTCAACATGTGTTTGCAAGGGGTGAAAATATGAAACCCTTCTGAAATAATTTGTGTTCACTTTCTTGTTCTTTACATTAACTTACGTACTGAAGCACACAATAACACTTTAGATACCATAGGTAGGGAAAAACAATGAATGGTGGTAGCACCAATAGATGAGAAAATAAGAGAATTACAATAAAATTGGTCGGGACATACAGCCAAACCAAAGCAAGCTAAAAAGAATTGGAAAGCAATTATTGTTAACAATAACATGTATGTAAACAATAGTATCAAATTGAGTATTTTGACAAAAGAAACCGCGGCCTTGTATCTATAAGACAAGTTCAGATAGAGGGATAAAGGCAAAAGTTGTTGAACCTTAACATTGGCCATTTTAAACTGGGCAAGTAATACAGACTACACATTCATGAATCATAGACAAAGATACAAAACATAACAGGAGTTAAATCACCATGGAAAAGAAAGTCAAACTTAGGTGAATGTGCATGTAACTGGGGCTTACACTTCACATTGATTTAGCAGAGCAAGCTTGTTCGGAACACAAGATTGCCCATTCGATTTGCACGCGGAGTCACATGATTCTCCCTGCCTATTTCCAGAAAGAAGCAAATGGTGAGCAATGACCAGTTCAAATCACGAAAATCAGTTATCACCATGAGGTTATAACCAACCTTCCAGTAATTATTTTTAAACCAATCAATCTTGTCTCCATTTGGGTGTCTGTAACTCCTGATTCAACATGTAATACAACAGGATGCAGTTCAATTAGCTAGCCAAGTCACCATTTCAAACAAAACCGACTTTAAATTTCAAATGATACATCAATCACATGGAAAACCTCCAGTCTATTTGATTCTAATATGTGAAAAAAAAAAAAAAAAAAGACCTTCAGAATCCCATTTGGTGGAACATTACAGAAGCTACCTGTCTGCAGTGTCAATACCGAGCAGAGATCATTACCAGAAATAAATTTACCCCCTTCATGATGTAAATTGTGCCTAAGGAACTTATTCAATCAATACTGCAATAAAATAGAGGTGAACCACTTTCCTTAACCGACATATCCCACTTTCTTAGGTTCAAGATATGGCTCATTTCCAAAATAAGAGTCGAAAGAGTTATGCAGAATTTCAGTGCTACCCAGCGTCATACTTGATACCTCCATTCCTTTCAAACTTATTTCATGAATCTATCTGACCCTTATTAAATATTGTCCTTTTCTTTTTGGAAGTCCCCAGATTTGTTTAATGAGTGATCCTTCAATCCACAGTCCAGCTACCTAAACATTTAGAGCTCCTTCAAGCTAAGGTGTAAACATTTGATCCCAAGCTACCAATGGATAAGACTTTCTTGAGTCTCTAGTAATAATCCAAAGGAAGTCCCGATGTAATAGTTTTAACAACAATTCTTTGATCAGTAAATAGCCCACATCAATCAAACAATTATATGTCACGAATAGATGATATCTGACGAAAAGCAGCAACCGGAAAAAAATGTTATTTAATTAGTGAAACTGCCACCCCTTTGCTCAAAAGTTATTTACTTTGAAAAACTGTTCCAAACATAACAAAAAAGTAAATGCAAATAATTCCACTCCTTCAGTGTTTGGAGTCCTCTAAACTGAACTCATCAAATATCCATTTCCAGGTAACTTGATCACTGAAGTCATTAAGTATCAACTCTTTAAACAGGAACTACATCTAGACAAGGTTCGCACGAACTTCCTTGCCTCCTTATTGACCAGATATTGCCCGAAAAGAGTGGAAATGACGATTGATCCATAGTAAACAATTGAGTCTCTGAACAGGGACTATCCAGGAGAACACCAACTATTCAGGTCTCAATTATTCTTCCACAATTTTAAGTCAAACCAAACATCATATGGAAACAACCAATTCTAGAAGAAAGTAAAGCTACACGAATCTTGTTTTCTTATCAACATAACTTTTATTTTATGTAAAAAGTTTCTGCGAGCACAGATTAACAAATTTGACACAAATTTTTAGCATGTGTTTGCATTCTAACAAATTTTAATCTTAGGTGTTTAATTCCTCATTGCCAGAGTGCACTTATTTGAGATTATTAGAGCAAGGAAAAACAAAATAGTACATACGAATTGAGGACTCATATAAAAATACAAAGTTCGATATAAATTAATTTGGATGAAAGAGGAAATCAATGGATTACATATGAATATATGCTGTAATACAAAACGGGACATAAACCAATAAAAGTGTAAATGAAATACCCCTGGTGTTTTACGATGATGAAGTATAAGAAACCTTCAGTTCCCTCCAGTAAAGATTATAAAGAAGTAGAATAAAGAAAACATTTCTGGCGGGGTCCACCAGGAATTAAAAGGAAACTAATCTAATGTAAAATCAGAATACCACATAAATAGCAATCCTAATTACAAATCAGTATTATTAAAAAGAAGAAGGATAAATGATGCGGGCGGAAGCATGAAAAGAAGGAACACCACTTTGATTCATGATCACCATGAACAAAGGAGGCAATGGTTTTTAGACAAAAACCAATAAAAACCATAACACAGGCACTCAGCCGTGAAAGAGAACTCGCAGTTCTGAAATCAATTATCAAATCTCAATAAAAACTACCCTGTACAGGAACCCTATACTTAAAAAAGGACAATATCTAAAAAGACTTAAAAATTCTGTAAAATACTAAAACCTCCGTAAATTAAAATTTTCTAATAATTCTTAAACCCTATTCTTATTTTTTTCCCGCATCAACTCTCCCCTGCTTCAAAGAAAACTCGTCCTCGAGTTTTGCCTGCCTTTCCCACGATCAAAAGGAACTCCTGTTAACTCCAATTGCCTTCTTTGAGAAACCTTCTTCTTTCGTCTTCTCCATGCATAAACAATTTGTTGATTCAGAGAGTTCTTAAACTCATAAGCTTCTTGTGATGTTCTTGAAAATTTAGCTTTGAAATTGCAAACTGGATCACATGATTCAAAACAAACACCAGACACCATTATTGCTTGTGCTTGTAGCAGATCCTCTTGAGTAAAGCACAAACTTTGTTAATCACTAGAAATTCTGCCACATTAACGTAATTCTTCTCCTCCCCAAGTATATTAAACCCATCAAACTCTTCCAAATCTTCCTTGTCTACTATTGGTTCAGTTGGAAGAGAAAACTGAACAACACCATGAACACCATCATTAACCAATTCATCCAGAAACTCATCTGGGTAAACATCATAAACTGGTGGACTGCTCCAATCAACGATCTAGTCCTCACTTGAATCGAAATCTGATTCAGATGAGAAAAACAAACCCTCCATATTACCTTCCGGTAAATCTGAAGAAACAACACTACACAGTTGACGATTCAATCCTTTTTGGAGATCATCAATCCTTTGACGATTCAATCCTTTTTGGAGATCATCAATCCTTTGACGATTCAATCCTTTTTGGAGATCATCAATCCTTTGACGATTCAATCCATCCTGGAGATCATCAATCCTTTGACGCACCCACTCAATTTGTTGCGTCACATCCTCTAGTTCTTGCAACCATGCAATAAATTGTTGACGGCTTTGATGGCATGGCTTAAACCTATGTCTCTGATACCAATTGATGCGGGCGGGACCATGAAAAGAAGGAACACCACTTTGATTCATGATCACCATGAACAAAGGCAATGGTTTTTAGACAAAAACCAATAAAAACCATAACACAGGCACTCAGCCGTGAAAGAGAACTCGCAGTTCTGAAATCAATTATCAAATATCAATAAAAACTACCTCTGTACAGCAACCCTATTTATAGTTAAACCCTATACTTAAAAAAGGAAAATATCTAAAAAGACTTAAAAATTCTGTAAAATACTAAAACCTCCCTAAATAAAAATTTCCTAATAATTCTTAAACCCTATTCTTATTTTTTCCTGCATCAATAAAGAAAACTTTTCTGGCAGGGTCCACCAGGAATTAAAAGGAAACTAATCTAATGTAAATCAGAATACAACATAAATAGCAATCCTAAGTACAAATCATTATTATTATTACACACTGAAGTAAACAAATTGGAGGGAAAAATCTATAAAAGCACTCACCAGAAGAGTTAGATGATATAGAGAAACAATGATGAAAATCACTCAGATATGCATTCTCATGAACCTGCAAATCCAGCAAAATACATCCGACTGTAGCAGAACAATCATGAATTCTGAATTTTTATAGGCTAAGTTGACAGGAAAAAGCTAATTTGCGAGCAGTAGGCCTTTCAGTAAAAAGGAGCTGGATCTTTTTTTTTCCCAATTCAATGACACGACAAATCCACCACCCTCAAACAGGATTCCAGTATTCAGAAATGATGTAAATTGTTAAGAACGAAGGCAGGAAAAACCAAATGCTCCTTTCCAAGCATCACTTTTGTGGTACTTTATGATTATATTTCATTTAGCATGGAATATATTCAGTTAGAGCCCCTTTCCAGACCCTAGAATTGGATCCTATTGTTTGTCTCTTTTGTAGCCTTTTCCCCTCTTGAGCTATCGAACTGGTACCCCCAAGCCGAACCTCAATCAATATCAAGTTAAAATTGACAAACTACAAGACTTAGTTAAACAACTCTGCAGAAACATCAAACCATAACCCACAGCATAAGACCCATGAGCAAGAACCAAAAGGCTGCTAAACGATGAATCGCAACTCTTACACCAGCCAGAGTAGAATATCGTGAAAGTAATAACTCATGAATCGGGAAAATTTGACAAACAAGGGATGATCGTAGAATGCAGTCATCATTCATCTTTAAATTAGCTGAAAGGTCAGGAACAGGATATTTTCTCATTTGAATTAGGAGTTGATTCATTGGACCAGAAAAATACTGAGCATAGGATATGTACCCCTAAACGGAGTCGATTCAAGGGACCATAGTAACACGGATTGGCTAGTCCGCTAGTATGCAATATTTACCCGTACAAGGAAAAAGTTGATGGGGGCAATAGTTACTTTCAAACTTTTCTAAAGTCCAACTTTAAGTGACAAAAGAGTTGACTTCTTTTTCAAAGTTGATATACTTATAGTTGATTGACAAAGTTACAAATTACTTATTAATTTAAAGTGTCAGGACTTAGGGCGAAAAACTTCACAGATCAAAGTTCATTTCATATATTTATACGAATTTCAGACACAGTATGATGGTATCTCTGGATGTTTGTGTACCAACAGCATGGTTTCTTAACGCAGACATTACCATTTCTACATCATTTTATAGATGATATATTATGGCTTCTCTTTTTAGCATTCAGACAAAGCAAGAATCAATGGATGGACTTAAGCCGGAAATCAATACACTGACGAAAACCAAAACTAAACTAAGACAAGGAATTTTTTCCAGCTTGGAAGGATTGATGCAGAACAGGCTTGTACAAATACTGTATCCGATTAGAAGTTTGCAATTGGAATGCTTGAAGTATTATTTGATGTCTTAAAGCCTTGTGATAGTTTGCAAAATAAAGTCAGTTTAAGAATTTTTTTTAGTAATATTTGGAAGTGGATTTTAGTAGTATTCTGTTTTTTTCTTTTTTCCCAAACTGAACCTAATGCTACATCATTTCTATGTTTTGTAGTCTTTTGACGCTTGCACCTGCCAAGGAACTCTAAAGATGCTAGTAAATTGGTAACACTTGTCCATTCTCTGAATAGCGGTCAATACCTGTCCCTATACTCTTAACATTCCTCCTAATCCATGACACATCTTAGCATGAATTTTGTGGCAAAAACTCAAAACACAAGAAGGAGGACATCAATTTATCAATAACGTCAAACGAAATTCTGAAGTAGCTCACTTTCAACTTCGCTTATATTTCTGATGCTCAGGACGATAAAAAATCATACAATTCCCATAATGATTGTGAAAGGACGAGATTTTTTTTTGGAGTCCTTATTTGTAGATTTTATGGAGGAAAGAACAGATCATCTCCACACTGACAGGCAAACGAGATGGAAAATCAAAGTTGAAAATTTTGCTCTTCATGTACGTTATCTAGAGAAGACTTCAGACTTAGAGCTACCATATAATAGATTTTTGACGGAATGAAAAAGACATCCGACACTGAACTAGCAGAGTGAATGGATAAAAAATTAAGTGATTCGAAATGTGCACTGTCCATCTTTAGACGCCTAGTAAGATGAATTGAAAAGAAAAAGTTATCAACTCAAATTCAAAGGGACATAAAACCTTAAAAGAAGTATAAAGAAACTGCTATAAACAACAAATTGTCTACTTGAATGAGAACATACATAATGACAGATAAAACAGCACAATGCAATTTGTATACATGGACCCAATAACAAAATAAAGCTTAGTTGGGACCCCTCCGTCCCAAAATAAAAGTCATGCATGTTACAGATTTTCAACCTTCCTTGTTTTCAAGATTCTATGTTCATGCACATATAACAGATGCTGCGCACATTTTCTTTCATATTCCCGAAGTGGAAAACTATTTTTCATATTAGGAACCGGTAGTCCAAACAAACATGATGTTAAGAGAAAACAGCTCCCCTTGGGATAAATGAGGACAATTGAGTACGTACCACGCTTTCTGAATTATGACGACACCTCCCAACACAAAAATCAAAAACACTTGAGTACGTTCCTGTCAATGCATAGAACAAGTTTGTTTCAATGATTTAACCCAAATACAGTTGACTTGTAGATAAACTAACCCAAATACAGTTGACTTGATAGATAAACTAAGTAGAATATGCATCCCTCATTGCTTTATTCAAGTACTAAATTTAGCAGAACTTGATGAATCACTAGAAAGTAGCAAACAGAAATTGTTCATCCAGACATCTGTTATTTCATAAACTAAACCCGAAACTAGAAACAAGAATTTTCTTCTTCAAACAAGGAATTCCTGAATTCTGGATAATCAGTCTCTGCATTGAACAACCGGTTTATTAGGGTTGCTTTATTGCATCATCACTACAACGAAATTTCCCAACGTTGAAACATGAATCAGTTGTTGTATAAGAGGTTGATGAAGTCATTGAGGCACTTAAATTCAGTATTAGGAAAACTTCAAAATCAAAAAAGCTGTTATTATTACGATTACAGTTAGCTTAAAACACCACCGAACTTCTTGTGGCATATCATATGAGAAATAGTGCAGATGTTAGCGTGCTTGCTCGGTGGTGGGTTTCATACTGCAAAGCTATGGTATCATAAAGCTGAACATTGCATCTCCACAAGGACTTCAGGGCCGTGCAAATTGTGCAAAGATTCCTCATATAGTAATAGAGCAATAGCAAAGAGAAATATAAGAATAATTTGACTTTTAGATGAAATTGGGGATTTATGATAATACGAAATTGGGAATTTATGATAATAGAGAAAAGGATATAAGATCTGAACTTGTACTATGCTACTAATAATTTGGCTTAAATATTTCTGTCAGTAAATCAAGGAAGTCAAGAGTAGATAAGATTAAAATAAATAAGGAAAGCTGCATCATAGGAGAAATCTAATCCTATTCCTGATAGTTAGGGATTTAGGATCACTAATCCTTTATTGAAGGGATTTGTCTCCTATCCTTTTCTCATAAATGTAGTAGACTCTGTGTATTCTGAATTGTAATGCAGAAATATCATTTCCTGGAGTCTATATTTTTCTAGATGGTATCAGAGCTTCAGGCTCAATCATGAATTTTAAGGCTGCCATGGTTGGCTCCGTAGGTTCTAACAATAGTGTACCATCTTCAGAGCAAAGCTGTCACCCTTCTGTTTCTGAAAATTCCCTTCAAATTACCAATCAAAAGTTGAATGGGGAAAATTATCTAGAGTGGTCTCAGTCTGTATGTCTGGTGGTAGATGGCAAAGGGAAACTTGGTTTTTTGAATGGGGAAATAAAACCCCCTGGCACAAATGATCCAAAACATAGGCAGTGGCGATCAGAAAATTCAATGGTCACAGCTTGGTTGATCAATTCTATGGATCCTGCGGTTGGAAAACCTTTTCTATTTTTGCCGACTGCCCAAGATGTCTGGGAGGCAGCTCGAATCTGGAAGATGCAGCAAGGTGAACGTGAAGTGACATCATATTACAATGAGATGATGGCTTCTTGGCAAGAGCTGGACTTGTTTGAAGCAGAAGAGTGGGAAAGTCTTAGGGATAGTGCTCGGTATGCAAAGAAGGTAGAAACAAGTCAGGTATTTGTTTTCCTGGCTGGTTTAAACAAAGATCTGGATGAAATTCGAGGACCTATCCTAGGGAGAAAACCCCTACCCTCTATCAGAGAAGTTTTCTCAGAAGTGCGCCGAGAAGAAGCATGGCGCAAAGTGATGCTGAGAGAAATTAATGATACAAAGGCTGAAGTTGAAGGGTCAGCCCTAGTGACAAGAAGTGCAGATGAGGAAAGTGATAAAAGGGGAGGAAAACAAAAGGTTTGGTGTGATTATTGCAAAAAGCCATGGCACACTCGGGAAAATTGCTGGAAGTTGAACGGCAAACCTGCAAACTTGAAGAAGAGACAAGGCTTTGATAACAAGTCAGGGGAGAAGTTCATGCATTTCAAGTAAGCAATGCTAATCCAGGGCAGCAATCATTCTCAGAATCTCTTCCCTTCACCAAGGAACAAATGGAGCACTTATACAAGTTGCTTCAATCTTAATCCATAGGAACCTCTACCCCATCCTGCTCTCTTGCTAAATCAGGTAAATATCGCACCCTTCTTGTTCGTACCAGTTCAAATGAATACTGAATCCTAGATTCAGGCGCCACCAATCATATGACTGGAAAATCCCAATTTTTCTCTTCTTATGCACCTTATGTAGGGAATAAAAAAGTGAAAATGGCTGATGGTTCCTATGCTTCTATTGTAGGAAAAGGAACTGTCCCTATCTTTCCTTCTCTAAGTCTTACAGATGTTTTACATGTTCCTAATCTTTCCTGCAATCTTATTTCTGTTAGTAAACTTACCTGAGATCATAAATGCCAAGTTCTTTTCTCGTCTTCTAACTGTAAATTTCAGGATTTAACCTCGGGGAAGATGATTGGGGGTGCTAAACAGGTTGGTGGCCTCTACCTACTCCATAAAGGATCCTTTGAAATGCAAGAGCAGCAAACATGTTTAAATTCTATTTCTATTTCTAATGATAGTGACATATTGTTATGGCATTATCGATTGGGACATCCTAACTTTCAATATTTGAAGCATTTGTTTCCCAAGTTATTTATGAATAAAAAGATTTCAGCTTTTCAGTGTGAATTTTGTAAATTAGCAAAACACCAACGTGCAATTTTTCCCTCTCAACCATACAAAAAATCAGAACCATTTACTCTAATTCATAGTGATGTTCGGGGTCCTTCAAGAATGCCAACTCTTTCTGGAAAACGTTGGTTTATCACTTTCATTGATGATCATACTAGAGTCACTTGGGTCTTTCTTTTAAAAGAGAAATCTGAAGTTGCAACTGTTTTCAGAAATTTTTACACAATGGTTCAAGCACAATTTCAGACTCAAATTAAAATTTTCAGAAGTGAAAATGGGAAAGAGTTCTTTAACAATGAATTAGGACATTTTTTCATGGAGAATAGAATTGTGCATCAAAGTTCGTGTGGTAATACACCTCAACAAAATCGGGTGGCTGAACGAAAAAATAAACATCTCCTTGAAGCTGCTAGAGCTCTAAGTTTTACAACTAAAGTTCCTAAGTACCTTTGGGGGGAAGCTGTTTTAACAGCCACCTACTTGATCAATAGAATGCCTACACGAATTTTGCATTTTAAAACACCAATCCAGATTTTCTCTGATTATTTTCCAAATAGTCGGCTGGTTACCGACATCCCTTTAAAAATATTTGGAAGTGTGGCCTTTGTTCACAATCATGACCCTAAACGTTCCAAACTTGATCCCAAGGCACATAAATGTATTTTTGTGGGCTATCCCACCAATCAAAAAGGTAACAAATGTTTTGATCCAGTTTTGAAAAAGATGTTTACGTCTATGAATGTAACTTTTTTGAAGGAACCTCATACTCTAGTGATTCCCATCTTCAGAGGGAGAACAATAAGAGTGAAGATGGTTTCTTTGATAATTCTGATTTGTTAGTTGATGTTTTGCAAAACCAATCATTAGCAGGAGGAAGAAAATGCAAAAACCATTGGAAAATGGAAAATCAGAAGAAACTAATGAACCATTGATAATGCCTTCTGAAAATAAACCAGCTGAAGTTATGGAAATGAATACAAAACGGTTTAAAGGTCTTGTATATTCAAAGAGGAGGAAAGGCACCATTCCACTGCAGCCCCAACAATCTGATGAGGTAGTGGAACCTGAACTTTCTCATGAATCTTCAATAGTTCCTTTAGAATCTAGTTCTCCTAATCATCTTGATTTGCCCATTGCCCTATGGAAAGGTGTTAGATCTTGTACAAAATATCCTTTGTCAAATTTTGTTTCTTATTGAAAATATTTCACCTCCATATTTTGCCTTTATTTCACAATTGTCTAGTGTGTCCATTCCTAATAGTATACATGAGGCCTTAAGTATTCCTGAATGGAGGGAAGCTGTTTTGGAGGAGATGAGAGTCTTGGAAAAGAATGCTACTTGGGAAAATGTTGACTTGCCGAATGGGAAGGCAGTTGTTGGTTGTAAATGGGTGTTTACCTTGAAATACAACTCAGATGGATCCTTGGAAAGACGCAAGGCGCGCCTAGTGGCTAAGGGCTTTACTCAAACATATGGAGTGGACTATTCCGAGACATTTTCTCCTGTGACTAAGCTAAACACAGTCCGTATACTTCTTTCTGTTGCAGCAAATCTTGATTGGCCTTTAAATCAACTTGATGTGAAGAATGCCTTTCTGAATGGAGACTTGAAGGAAGAAGTATACATGGAACCCCAACCTGGTTTCAATGGTTAGTATGGGACAAAAGTTTGCAGGTTGAAAAAGTCTTTATATGGACTCAAACAATCTCCACGAGCTTGGTTTGAAGGGTTCACAAGATTTGTTAAACGTCAAGGATATACGCAAGGACAATCCGATCACACTCTTTTCACAAAGGTATCCACTAAAGAGAAGATCTCAGTTTTGATCGTCTACGTAGACGACATAATCTTGACCAGAGATGATGTGGAAGAAATGAATAAACTAAAGCAAAACCTGGCCAAGGAATTCTAGATCAAAGATTTAGGCCAGCTCAGGTACTTTCTTGGAATGGAAGTGGCAAGATCAAAAAAGGGAATTGTGGTTTCTCAACGGAAGTACGTTTTGGATCTCTTAAAAGAGACAGGAATGAGTGGATGCAGGCTACTCCAGTTGAAGTAAATGTCAAACTTGGAGATTTTGAAAATGGAATACCAGTAAATAAGGAAAGATACCAAAGACTGGTTGGAAGACTAATCTACCTATCACATACATGCCCTGATATTGACCCCAGGAAAAGGGTTGTACTTCAAGAAAAATGAGAAGAGGGGGATTGAAGTGTACACAGATGCTGATTGGGCAGGATCTATCACTGATAGAAGATCAACTTCTGGATATTGCACCTTTCTTTGGGGCAATCTGGTTACTTGGAGGAGCAAGAACAAAGTGTAGTTGTCAGATTTAGTGCTGAGGCTGAATTCAGATCAATGGCACAAGGAGTGTGTGAGATTCTTTGGCTAAGAAGGGTTCTTTGGAATCTTAGAAGGCCAGTACAGTTTCCTATGAGGCTATACAGTGATAATGAAGCAGCTATCAGCATTGCTCATAATCCAGTTCAACATGATTGGACAAAACATGTTGAGATTGACAGACACTTCATAAAGGAGAAACTTGAAAAGAGAATAATATGCACTCCATTTGTCCCAAGTACACAGCAGCTTGCAGATGTTCTAACTAAGGGTCTCTTGAGACAACCATTTGAGTTTCAAATTAGCAAGTTGGGCATGATAGATATTTATGCACCAACTTGAGGGGGAGTGTCAGTAAATCAAGGAAGTCAAGAGTAGATAAGATTAAAATAAATAAGGAAAGCTGCATCATAGGAGAAATCTAATCCTATTCCAGATTGTTAGGGATTTAGGATCACGAATTCTTTATTGAAGGGATTTCTCTCCTATCCTTTTCTTATAAATGTAGTAGACTCTGTGTATTCTGAATTTACTGTAATGCACAAATATCATTTCCTGGAGTCTATATTTTTCTAGAATTTCGAACAGAGCAAGGACGAAGTCAGAAAGTTAATGGGCCAGCCTATAAGCATAGGATACAACTGTAATCAGAACCAACTTGACCCAGGAGCAGATTGCCACTTTTGGAAGCCTATCTTTTACACCAGCAAGTGGGACTTCTTGACACATGGCACCTACCTTATAGTATTGTTCTAGTGGAAACTGCACCACAAACTGTTGGACGATGCAAGGAACAAAGGGCCAAAGGTAGTAACATGTTTACAACACCTAGACTTGTTGAGTACTAAGAGCTTGACTTATGGATATTGAATAACTGATGATGAAACCAAAAAGTTATTGATACGCATAACATTAAGAGATGCATATAATTTTGTGGAACAGAATCAGCATGTGGGAAGTCAATGGGCTAATAATAAAATGAAGAAAATTTAAATAGTAAAGCTGTGGAGAAAATGAGAATATTGAACAGTATTCAACTGCTAAAATGAGGTAAAAGAAGCCTACACTCAAAATCTTAATCCCTTTGTTAAACTTAAAAATAGGGGAAACCTGGTAGGTTAGTCAATATAACAATCTAATTTGAAGTGATATTTTCCACCTCTTTTTCCCTTTCTTTCAGTTGAAAGTCAGCCTCACCTTGCAATGTCAATCGGAACTCACTATGGGATTTCTATAGCATTTTATTCCTCGTCCAATCTTCTCCCAGATTTCAAGCTTTCCCACTAAAGCTCCTACTTCTCAAATGCTTATAATTTAGAGACCCTAAGTTTCTGAAGAAGCTAGAACAATCAACAATTAACATCGACCGGTACCTGCAGTTTCATGCTTAGCTATTTTCATATTCGCCACCATTTCCTTCGGAGTCTGCATAGACAGGTTCCAAGATAAAAGAATTTAATCCACTAAATTCAGTTGAAGAGGGAGAGGGGGGAATAAGACACTGAGTGATTACCCGAACTGGATTAAGGCAACATGAAACACAGAACTCGTATGTATTGCAACATTGTAACAAAAGATTGCACCCTCTGCAATGTGGCAAAAGTGATTTTCAAAGTAATAAGCATCATTCATAAATGACTTCTGCTGAGGCAGATAGTGTTCATTTGGTATGAATTTCAAAAGTGAAGATGTTTTCTCATAATAATATTAGGCATAATTAGAATTTAATAACCAACTTACTGACAAGAGAACTGCTCTTGATTGAAAGGACAACACCGGGAGTTTGGGTCAACTGAAAATGCATCACATACATGACCTACAGCAAAAGGTGTCAAATACAAATAGTGTTGCAGATCATGAGATTGAACTCAATTAAGTTATTCATAAGATGCAATTATGTATCATTAAGTTTTCCAGAAATTGAGAAAGTGGTTGACATGTATCCATTGCATACTGGCAGCTGGAAAACAAGAGTTCATAGTGAGGTTACAAAATATAGGTACGTGAATTTGCCAGATTCTAGAAGCAAAACTAATAGAGAAGAAGGGCAGAGAAAAAAGACAAGGATCATTAGAACAGTAAAGTATATAAGACCACAAAAAAAAGCAAATTGATTGAAATGGCCAGTTGTGAAATCAATGTATCATTTGCTCATCCTGATTGAAAGCTTCAGGTGGTATTCAAAGTTCCCCAAATACTGTGTATCATAGAACATGAACCCCAGAGATCTAACTATAGCAACCATATGCAAAAGGACAGGTACAATTTGCATAATAAGGAAAATAGACAATAACAACTTTATATGAAACAAAAGATAGTGCTTCTGAATCTAGCACAGTTCAAACGATGGATATAAAACAATAAAACAAATTAAAAATATCACAAAAGCAAAAGCCTGAAAATGTTGTTGCTGTTAATTGGGACAAACTTTTGCCAGATAATGCAGCAAAAAGGCTTGATCTACAATACATCACAGTGCATAAAACATTTCAAGCGTCTCTAACTAATTTAAACAAAAAGCTTCATAGTTGCACCATCTAGGATCTAATACATCTATTAATTCCTATAGTCCACCTTAGAAATCAAACAAGATAATCATAGTTAAGATCATAAAGGAGTAGCTACAACATTAACACTTAACAGTAGCATTTTAACAAAACTAGCGACCATCACGTCCAGTTGCTAACATTTCCAATTCTATGTTTTGTACAGGTTTGAACATGGAAGTCCTAATGAAGGTTTTGCTTGATGAGACTCACATCATTAAATTTCAGGATAAATATCCTCCTTCGCTATATCATTAAAGAAACACATCCAAATTGACACTCTTCCCCTAGAGAAAATCTTTTTAGCCAGAAGCAAACTTCTGAACATACTAATCAAAAGAGCTAATTAAATAAAGTGACAAAGAAGTGAGATTCTTGTCGCCGCTGATCATAGGTGTTTAAGAAACAAAGGAAAATGAACAGAAAATTTCACAACCATCAAAGCATATATCCAATCAAACTAACTATAACAAGAACGTGAAGAGGCAAAGTACCATTATCATCACAGAGCAAGTATCTCCCTTGAACAGAAGTTCTGCAAATTCGATTGTTTTGAAGACTCGCGTCTTTCCTATCAATACGAACGGCAAAAACAAACTTACATAATTGAAATCAACAGATTAGAATAATCAGGAAATCGAAATTTGGAGGGGCGAAACAATATTTCACCTGATTGGCGTGACAGGGGAAAGCATTTGAATCAGAATTACCAGCCATGGAAGCGACAATGGCGATAAATTAGATACGATTCTGTGAACTGGAACAGATTTTGATCTCCCCATTTCTTTCTCCGTTTTGGAAATTTTGAATATTTTTAAGGTGTCGAAAGAATTTCATTCATTAGGCCACATTCAGTTTGGTTGTTACTTTGGACTTCTTTGCCCGATTGCCCGACCCATCGCGCATATAGCATTAGCGTTAAACGTTTGTGTCCCGTTAGTTGCCTACCAGTCATATACTTCTGTTTCAAAATTATTATTCAATTTGAGATTTCACTTTTAAATATAATTTGAAGAAATGAAAATTCAAACTAAACAATAATTATGGGACGAAGTAAGTACATACTAGTTCTTACCCCACGCGTTGCATGAAAACTTTTCGTTTTAAACCAATTTAAAGAAATGAAAATTCAAACTAAACAATAATTATGAGACGAAGTAAGTACATACTAGTTCTTACCCCACGCGTTGCATGAAAACTTTTCGTTTTAAACTGAAAATTATGGCTAACAAATCTGACCCATGACAAATTTTGAATTAATGCAACGAGTCATGGGTCGAGTGAGTGATTTAATAAGTCATGTAAATTTGTTGGGTTGGGTCACTTAAACACATGTCAAGGTGGATTATACGTGGGTTGTAATGGATGAATAATTAATCTGCAAATTTAAGTTGTCACTAAACCCCAAATCAAATTCTTAGCATCCATAACATCTACATTAAATTTTCTTTTTGTATTCATCTTAAATTCTGATGGCAAAGGTGGAGAAGAAGCCGAAGGCAAAGAAGAAGTCAGCGGCCAGTAATGAGAAGAAGCCCTCCAAATGCCCATTTTCAAGAGATCCAGCAGTCGGTGAAGCTTGAGCTTTCCAGTGAACTGGCTAAACACATTGTTTAAAGGGAGGTGTTTCTAGTTTTGATATTGATTTTGAATTTTTGATGGTGGATAATTTGGAAAGAAAAGTGGTGGCGGTGGCTTTGAGAAGAGGGGTGGTGGTTTTGAGATGAGGGAGGAAGACGATGAGGCGTGGTTCTCCCACTAGGTAAAATAGGCTATCGCCTAGGGCCCCGGAATCGGGAGGGCCCCATATATATATATGTGTGTGTATGTATTAACTAAACTTAGTGTTAATAAATATGGGAAAAAAAACGTAAAATTCATAAAAATAAGAGATTTGTTGAAAATATGAAAAATTAATGAAACTCTTACATGTCTCGAGATTTTTAAAATTAACTATTTTCTTTACGTAGTTAATAGAACTATATATCTCATCAATATAAAGCAGATTTAAAAGTTTTAAAATAGACGTTAGTATTTTTAGTTTTCTATTATTTTGAAAAAATTATAAGTACTTGATGACAAAAAAATTAGAAAAAAAAATTGTCTTAACCTTCAAAACTTCATAAAACACAATAATATTTTAGATATTGATGGTTTAGATATATTTATGAACTAAAAATTTTAACTCATAATGTATATATTTGAGAATAATAATTCAACTGATATACTTAGTTATATTAAAAGACTTAACTCTTTTTTAATTGCTTATAGGATAATGTTAACTATTATTCATGTAACAGTTGGGTCAATAGAAAGAAATTTTTCAAAACTTAAATTAAAAAAATATTAGTTAAAATCGACAATGTCACAAGACCGAATTAAATGGATTTGCTATTATATTAATAAGAAGAAGGCTTAGTAGAAGAGATAGATCATAGAAATTTCATAAAAAAATTTGCAACGAAAAAAGGTAGAACTCGCCTATGTAAATAAGAATGAAAAGGATTAAACTTTTTCCCTCTTTTTTATAGTTTCTTTTTTATCAAAAGGCTTCGAATTCAGAACTCGCCTTAAGCCCCAAAAAACGTTGAGCCGCCCCTGTGAGGCATGAGAATGGTTTAATGCTTTTACGCTACGTTCTTTTGTCTATAACGGGAATCAGGGAAACAAAATTTCATATATGAAGGGGAAGCAGCCTTTCATTAAAGGAATTTTTAATTACCTTTGATATGTTTCAATATGTATGGGAGTAGTTATAAGTAGACGATTGATGCATTTCTTATTTACATAGGTATGCCCATATGGGGATGAAATTTAGGATTTTAAATAAATTTTATTGGAAAAAATAATTTTATAAATAAAATAAATTTGCATTACCAAATTTCTCTGATACAACTTTTTATGCGCCTAATTTTGAGTGCCCTTTTAATTTTTTCATTATTTGAGATTGAAAAGATTAGTAGAGTAATCAGGTAAGATTAAGTTTATTTAATGTAGGTTATATGATTATTAACGAAAAATCAATCTCTTACATATTATTTTTTATGAAAAAACAGTAATGATAGGAAAAGGAATGACCGTGTCATTCCTTGCATTCCCATTACCATGAATGAACGCAACCTTATTTCTTAATTACTAGATTTTTTTTTTCCGCGCTTCGCCTGACCCCTTTGTACAAATATGTAACAATTTGAGAAATTTATAAACATTATCTGATAAATAAAGAAAGAATGGTGTAGTTTAGATCTAAATCATATCAATTAATTTATATACTTTTTATTTAGATATTTATCTATTTAAGGTGTTCCTAAAAACAATCTGCTTGAGATTAGTGAGATACTTTCTCTGTCTAGAAATAATTGTCTAGTTTAGAATTTTACTTTTAAGCATAATTTTAATAAAAGTCAAATTCTAAATTGGAAAATGACATTTCTATAAATTTTCCTTATAATTTCTTCCTACACTGTTCAAAATAAAAGTCGAGAGAGTGACGCAAGAAAGTAAAAGGGTCACGCTGAGGTAAAACTTAAGGCGAGAGAAAACCATTAAAATAGCATGGAAACAGAAAAAAATGCACGCAATGAGAGAAAATCAGAGTGCGGTGAGGGTGAGGATTTACTAACCCTTATATCTCGTTTGTTCCTTGTGCAGGTATAGAGGTTGATGATTCGAGGACGAATCCTCTTAAAGAAGGAGGGGATGATGAGAATCATATAGCCTTCCATGGTGATTCTCCTAGTGAGGGGAATGAACTAGTCCTTCATTCTAATTTTGGAATGCCAAGTTTACTTTGCAGGCCAATCAAGGAAGAAAGGATGGATCTTGACTACCTATGTGATAGAGAGTTGGTTCAAGAGAGCTATGATCAAGGTGATGAGAATGTCATTAACTTTGGGGTTCAAACCAAGGGAGATGATGACCTCATGGAAATAAGTGCTGAAGAGTATCAAGAGATTTTGACTCTGTGTGCTCCATGAAGATCATTGATCAAACTAGTGAGAAGAGTCATTTAGGTTCTTGAATGAACGGCCTATTTGATCAAAGTGTTCAAGATTGAGTCCATTGCTACACAATTGGATAGGGTGCAAACTATCTTAATTGTTTCAAGTGTTTTTCCAATCTTTTGGAGTCAATAAAGAGAATTCTAAAAGTTTTGGAGTAAATTAGAATTTTCTACAACTTAAGGGGCGCAAGACCAATATTCCACTTTTAGAAGGGCATTCAAGACATTTTACTTGAACAATTTGGGAGCTGATTTTCGAGATTTAGTTGTTGTCTAAGTCTAGGAGTTATTTTCGAGTTTTGTCTAGTTAGATAAGCCATGCGGGCTGAATAAAACTAGAGTGTTTTGATTAGGAGTCTTAGATTCTTCTAGATATTATCCTACTTGAGGATAAGTCATTTAGATAAGGTTTCCTAGATTTTAGATAGAGTCAAGAGATCAAATACTCTTCTACTTCTACTCCTTGTGAAATAAGATTAGAGAGTCCTAATTGATCTTCTTCTTTAGGTGCTGGCCGAAAAATCCAAGCCTATAAATTGGGGGCTTGGCCGAAATTTCAAAGCACCCTTGAGTGGTCATTTTTGTTGTCTCTTTTGAGAGTTTTTCCTGTGAGGAATTTTTGTTAAATGGAGTGTCCATTTTTTGTGTCAAGTATGATTTAACCAAGAGGGTTTTCATCTTATCTTGGATCTTTTTGATCTTGCAGAAACCGTTCTTTTTCAAGTATGCTTCTTGATAGAATTGTTCTAAAACAAAACTTCTTATTTTCATACTACTTCTAGTAGTTCGATTGATGAGCCTTTCTTTTGGCTTGGTGTTCGAATTTCATGATGAGTGTGTTCATGAGTTCCATTGTGGGGTTTGTCCTACTTTTGTTGGATGACTTGTGCTTTGGCGTAAGCATTTTGAGATAGTGTATGTGTTGCATATCTTTGGTTGGTTATGAAGATTACTAATCAATAGTATTCCTTCATAGTTGAGCATTGTTTGCTCCTACCTTTCTTGAGTCTCTTGAATGCTAACTGATCGAGTATATTTTTTGGTGTCCTTGCTATTCTTAGCGTGGGTTGTTGTTTAATTCGAATCTTTCATGGATCATGTGTTCTTTGCTTTATTTGAGTTAAGGGTTAGAATCACTTAGATAAACAATTGTCTTACTATGAATTTTCCGCACTCTTTTGAGTTTCACGGTATAGACAAATTATCTTCGTACTTTCTTGTTGATGGTTGCATTAAGGAAATTTGCTTCGTCTACGAGATTGCTATCAGTTTCTTGGTATCAGAGCTTGGACTATCTTAGTGATGGTATTAATTGATATTATCATATCAGTTTCTATTATCAGTTTGATTTTCGAGAGATTTCTTTTTGATTGAGGACTTCATAGTTCTTGGTTTTGAGAATATCTTGAGTTGCCACGGAATCCGTTACTTGGTGTGGTAATCAAGCTTTGTGCTACTAACGAGTAGTACTATCTTTATTTCTTTCAAGGTTCCTTCTTGTTGCAGAATGGGTTTTGAAAAAAATAAATCAAATTCTTATGAAAACTATGTTTTCAAAATTGATCTTGTCTTTTGTGTGGTTGTGCGAGACTTCTTACACATTTGTTTGATCTTGTGGTGTTATTTTGGGGTCTATGCGAGAGCTTGATGATGGTACATTGGTATCTAGTCAAAGTGGGCGCTACATCTTGAAATTTATCCTTGATTTGCAAGTAGAGAACTGTTTCTCCTATGAGCAAGTTAGTGGATCTTATGTGTTGAATCTTTAAAGGAGAGAATTGATGCCAAAGAAGAGCTTCTTGCTCGAGATAGCTTTTTTCTTTCTAAAAGAGATGTCTTCACATGAGGAGGATTTAAGAGTTTATCTTGTGGTAAATATCTTGGATCTATTCTTTGAAAGGTGAAGCTTATTGATTTTGTACTTTCTACATAAAGTATAAATGAAAAAGCCTTCCTTCTTGTTGGTTTCATTTGAATCTAATGAGTAAAATGGAATTTATGGATTTTCAATTAATGAGAATTTCATAGAGACCCGAATTGTGTTGATTATTTTGTTTTTGTTTAAATCTTAGTGTCAAAAGATTTTTCAAAAAGTAACAAATGTTGGTCTTTTGTTTTCTCGAGTTTTATACTTTGAGATTGAGTCGAATTAGGGGATCTTCCTATCATTGGACTTTCTATGATTCCTAACGTGAGTTTCAAAACTTTCTTTATCATGTGATGAGGAATGAATTTTAGTGATATCAGTTTTGGTATCAAAGTATTTAAAGGTCTTTGAAGTTGAATTGTGCCAACTTTAGGGGTTGAAGTCTTTGACTTGTGTTTAAAACATTGGTTTTCGAGAGTTAAATCGAGAATTAAGTGAAGTTTTACTAAAAAAATTTTCTTATTTATGACAAGAAATCTTATAGGCTTTGAGATATATTCTTAAAGTTTACATATTTGGTCTTTGGAAAATTTGATTTTTCAATGGTCACTTATGAAGATGGTATTGTTGAGTCATTGAGTTTTAAGAATGATTTGTGTTAAATTTAGTATTATGAAGTAACTGTCATAGTTGAATGAGGAACTTTAATTTCCTACTTCATTATAATTATGGTGTTCTTGTTACTTTATTTGCCATAGATTGTTTTGGTAAAAAGTGATTTTTGTTAATTCCAAGTACAATTTGGAAAAGGGTTTTTAGAAAGATTCTAAAAATTGTTGTCCATTTTTGGAAAGTGGTAATTTCAAGTTTCCTTTTTAAGTGAGTCAAAAGTAATTTTTCAAATTTTAACTATGTGGTAAAAGGTTAATAGCCAAAATTTTGCTGACTTTTTGCATGTGTGTGCGTGTGATTTATGTGGAATTCTAAGCCTAGTTGGTTTTCAATTTTAGAGTCATAGTATAGCCGAAATTGTGAAGCTAAAAATTAGGGTTTCCTAGTCCTAGTTGAACTTGAATTTTGGTTGTCTATTTGTGTTACACTTGAAGACCAATTCGGTCTAGTATTTGTGTGTTCACATGGCCGAAAATTTTAGCCCTAAAATTAAGGTCATTGAGTCCAAATTGTGTTATGATTTGAGTCCTATTCGGTTTTGGATTTTCGTGTTCACATTGGCCGAAAATTTGCTGCCTTTGTTTCCTAATTGTAATACAATTTTATTGAGTGTTTTATTTGAGTCCTACTTGGATTTAAATACTAATTTTTGCATGTGTTAAATTATAATTTCAATGAGATTATAATTAGAGTTTTAAAGTGAGTCTATTTTCGAAAACTATTGAGATAAGGAAGTCTTATCCTAATCTGAAAATTTTTGAGTCTTCTAATACAATTGTGCATGTGTGTGGCCGTGTATTTTGAGTCCTATTAGTAGTAGGGGGTCGAAAATTTTATCTCTAATAAGTAGGGATGGATTTTCCTAATTTGTGTCCAAAAAGGATTATGTTTACCTAAGTTTTAGGACTCTATCCTTGTCTATATATATGAGGCTGGTTTTTCTTCTTCTTTATTCCACATTGTCGAGCAGTTTTAATCCATTAAAGGGGGGAATATTTTTTAGAAAATTTAGGTCATATCTTGTAGGAGTTTTCTTGCACAAAAAGACTTGCATTGCCTATAAATAGGGATGCTGTTTTTCGAAAATTCTCACATCACTCTACTCCAATCTTCTTCTTCCTCTTGCTGCCGAGATCAAAAGAGAACAACAAGAGAAGCACTCTTCTCTTTATTCTGTAATTTTGAGAGTTAGTGTTCTTAAAAGCACAAGAGAGTTTTTGTTTTTGGGGAGAGTTTATTCGAACCTTCCTTTGGTTCTTGGGGGGTTCGGCCGAACCCAACAGTGGTTCTAGGTTCAAGGAGTTTTTGTGTAGTAACCAAGGCACACTACTTCTTTTGTTGGTGGTTTCTCAGAGTTGTTGAGCAAAGATGTCATCCGGAGTTGCTGGTTGTACTCAAGTTGCTTCAAAGAGTGTAGAGGGTCGCATGGAGGCTCAAGTACAGCTCATGAAGAGTCAAATTGACTTCTTACATGATGCTTTGGCCGAGGTGAAGGAGGCAAACCGAGACTTGTCTCAATTGCTTTCAAATCAGCAAGATAAAGCTATGGTAAGTTTTGAGAAAATTGCTGAAAATTTAAGAGTCTTATGTGATCGTTTTGAAGTTAAACAAGTACCCTCGTATGCTGGAATGTTGCAAGTGTGATTGCCTTTGTTTTATGGTTGTCATAGAGAATATGATACTTGGGAAAAGAGCATAGAGAATTTGTTTGTATTGCTTAACATAGAGAAAGAGAGTGAGAAAATAGCCTTCGCTATATGTTGTTTTCGTTCTTGTGCTTTGAATTGGTGGAAGCTAGTTTCAAATATCTATTCGCATCATTGGTGTCGTAATTTGGATGATTGGCATGATTTGAGAAATGCTTTGCGAGAAAGATATGCTGGTACTAACACCTTTGATGAAGCAAAAGTGAAGTTGCTCAATTGTAAGCAGAATGGTAGATCCATTCAATCTTACTTTGAGGAATTAGAAGGGTTGTTTCTGAGTTCAGAAGTGGATGACAACGACTACATGTTGACAGATCGTTTCCACTATGGCTTGGACAAGTGGTTCAAACAACACCAAAAGATAAGGAGGCAATCAAGGCTCTATGAGGCATATTATGCTGCCTTAGAAGTGGAGAGAGAGCATGATACTTCTTGTGGTTGGAATGGTCCAATTGAGGATCAGGGGTTGATGTTTGGCGCTGAAGATGGTGATCAACGGACTTGTATCTTCCGTACTAAGTGTTCGGTTGGGTGGGTCGAGTACTGATTGTATAAGTGAGGAATTTTGCATAGCGAACGGAATCAAGATGGATCCGCATCTAGACCATACAAGCCTCAATGGTTGAGTGAAGAGATGGTTATGGATGTTACTAAGAAGGCCATGGTACCTTTTCAGATTGGTGAGTATAGGGATGAAGAATCTGAATTTGTGTGAGAGAAAAGACGTAAGATAACCTATACACAAGGGAGAGAAAAAGTCGAGAGAGTGACGCAAGAAAGTAAAAAAGGTCACGCTGAGGTAAGACTTGAGGCGAGAGAAAACCATGAAAACAGCGTGGAAACAGAAAAAAATGCACGCAATGAGAGAAAATCAGAGTGTGGTGAGGGTGAGGATTTTACTTACCCTTATATCTCGTTTGTTCCTTGTGCAGGTATAGAGGTTGATGATTCGAGGACGAATCCTCTTAAAGAAGGAGGGGATGATGAGAATCATGTAGCCTTCCATGGTGATTCTCCTAGTGAGGGGAATGAACTAGTTCTTCATTCTAATTTTGGAATGTCAAGTTTACTTTGCAGGCCAATCAAGGAAGAAAGGATGGATCTTGACTACCTATGTGATAGGGAGTTGGTTCAAGAGAGCTATGATCAAGGTGATGAGAATGTCATTAACTTTGGGATTCAAACCAAGGGAGATGATGACCTCATGGAAATAAGTGCTGAAGAGTATCAAGAGAGTTTGACTCTGTGTGTTCCATGAAGATCATTGATCAAGCTAGTGAGAAGAGTCATTTAGGTTCTTGAATGGACGACCTATTTGATCAAAGTGTTCAAGATTGAGTCCATTGCTATACAATTGGATAGGGTGCAAACTATCTTAATTGTTTCAAGTGTATTTCCAATCTTTTGGAGTCAATAAAGAGAAATCTACAAGTTTTGGAGTAAATTGGAATTTTCTACAACTTAAGGGGCGCAAGACCAATATTCTACTTTTGGAAGGGCGTTCAAGACATTTTACTTGAACAATTTGGGAGCTGATTTTCGAGATTTAGTTGTTGTCTAAGTCTAGGAGTTATTTTCGAGTTTTATCTAGTTAGATAAGCCATGTGGGCTGAATAAAACTAGAGTGTTTTGATTAGGAGTCTTAGATTCCTTCTAGATATTATCCTACTTGAGGATAAGTCATTTAGATAAGGTTTTCTAGATTTTAGATAGAGTCAAGAGATCAAATACTCTTCTAATTCTACTCCTTGTGAGATAAGATTAGAGAGTCCTAATTGATCTTCTTCTTTAGGTCTTGGCCAAAAAATCTAAGCCTATAAATAGGGGGCTTGGCCGAAATTTCAAAGCAACCTTGAGTTGTCATTTTCGTTGTCTCTTTTGAGAGTTCTTTCCGTGAGGAATTTTTGTTAAATGGAGTGTCCATTTTTCGTGTCAAGTATGATTTAACCAAGAGGGTTTTCATCTTGTCTTGGATCTTTTTGATCTTGCAGAAACCATTCTTTTTCAAGTATGCTTCTTGATAGAATTGTTTTAAAACAAAACTTCTTTTCATACTACTTCTAGTAGTTCGATTGATGAGCCTTTCTTTTGGCTTGGTGTTCGAATTTCATTATGAGTGTATTCATGAGTTCCATTGTGGGGTTTGTCCTACTTTTGTTGGATGAGTTGTGTTTTGGCATAAGCATTTTGAGATAGTGTATGTGTTGCATATCTTTGGTTGGTTATGAAGATTACTAATCAATAGTATTCCTTCATATTTGAGCATTGTTTGCTCCTACCTTTCTTGAGTCTCTTGAATGATGACTGATCGAGTATATTGAATGGTGTCCTTGCTATTCTTAGCGTGGATTGTTGTTTAATTCGAATCTTTTATGGATAATGTGTTTTTTGCTTGGTTTGAGTTAAGGGATAGAATCACTTAGATAAACGATCGTCTTACTGTGGATTTTCCGCACTCTTTTTAGTTTCACAAGATAGACAAATTATCTTCGTACTTTCTCGTTAATGGTTGCATTAACGAAATTTGCTTCGTCTACGAGATTACTATCACCTCCTGTCTCGGTTCTTAAGCAAATGGAGAAAAGGTGTCAAAGATTTTTGTGGTGAGGCACTAGTGATGATAAGCGAAGGCATTGGAGAGCATGGAAGCATTTAACTTTTCCAGTTTCGGATAACTGGTTAGGGTTTCGGTGGTTTCACGATGTAGTGCAAGCTTTCTCTTATAAGCTTTGGTGGAAATTTAAGCACCAAAACAGTTTGTGGAGCAAGTTTATTTCTTCTCTTTCAGATGCTGCTAGGAAGAAAACAACTTGGAGTAGGGTGCTGGAAGTGGAACATGAGGCAGCAAAAAATGCAAAGGTTTTGATTCGTGGAGGTGACAGGCTTTTCTAGTTTGATAATTGGGCGCCTGATGGTCTACTTTGGGATTCGAATGAAGAACAACCGCCAATGCCTTCTTTAACTATTCAAGGTTTTTTGCTAATAAAAATTCGCTCTTGACTGAATTGCAGGGATTACTTGATTTGAGAATGGTGCAAGGGTTGCACAACATGGAGGTCATAATGAATGATGAGCGAGACTTGTTTTCTTGGCAGCATTCCGCATCCTGCAATTTCTCTATTAAATCAGCTTATTTGCATTTGAGAAGGGAAAACCAAAAAGACTCTTTGGCTAGGAATTTCTGGCATCAGTCAATTCCTTTAAGGGTGTCGTTCTTTGTTTGGAAACTCAGGAATTTATTGGTGTCATTCCCTGAGATTTTGTCTAATTTTGGCATACAGGTTCGTCCATCTATTTGCTTGTTTTGTCGAATGCATGAGGAAAGTATAGCTCATTGTTTCTTTGGTTGCTTGGAAGTTAAATATATATGGATCCATTTTTCGAATATCTTTTCTATCAAGCTGGAAACTGTTAACATTTTGCTTATAATTTGCAAAAATGGTGGAGCAAAGGTAGTTTTACACTGGCTAAGCAATCTCTGATCAAAATAATTCCTTCATTTATTCTCTGGAAGGTTTGGAAAGCGAGAAATAAGGCATATTATGATGGGGTGAGAAAGGAAGGGTTATACATGATGTTAGAAATGCTGCTAGGGATGCATTATTTGTACATGATTTAAAGGTTAGGTATGTAGTAGAGAGGGACTTTATTGAAAGGACTTTTGGGTTACAATTGCAAAAAATCCAAAAGCGTACTTGCATTTCGGTATGTTGGAAGCCGTCGCGTGAGAAAGGGTTTGTTCTTAATTCTGATGGTTTGGCTATTAATGATGATTCTGGGCATGGCATTGCTATTAGACATCATGATGGATATTTTATGTATGGGGAGCATGGTTTTCTTGGTGCCGGTGATAGCTTCGGGTCGGAAGTATATGGTCTTCTATTTGGAGTGAGAAAATGTGATCAACTTGACTTGGCTATAGTTGATATTCAAACAGATAACAAGGTTTTGGATGACCTTCTTGGATCTTTGACTTCCATTCCATGGAAGTACTATTTTCAAATAAAGGAGATTCATGAGATAATGAGTAGGCGATCCTACAGAATATCTCACATATTAGCAAATGCGGTTGCTGACAGTTTGGCTGGACAAGGTTCACTTGGTCACTCATGTATTATGCTAGATTGGGGGTTTTGCCTTGGCATACTCGTGGTATAGTTCTATTAGATCAAGTTTCATTTCCTTAGCTGCGAGTAAGATTTAAATAATTTGTAATATGGTAAGTCTTAAGTATTGCCAATCTCCTTTATTTAATGGAATCGAACAAAACAGGAGGGTCGAGACTAAGGAACTAGATTGTATATATGTCTATCCCTTGGGTATACCCCTTGGGTGCATTATACAGTCTGGCACTGGTTATCTTAAAATATACCTCTTGGGTATACCCCTTGAGTTTTTTTAAGATAGTTGGAACATGAAAATCAATCCTTCCACTCTATCTATTTAATAAAAAAATGAAGATGTTAAATAAGTGTTGTAATGAAATATTTTTTAAAAAGTTAGATTTTGATCTGCGGGAAACAACTATATAAATTGGGATAGTTCACCGATGTTCGACATCTACCCTGAAGATGATATTCAAGAGAGCTTTACTCATCTTTTTTGTGTGTTTTTCTATTACATGCAGCAACACAGGCTAAAATCCTTTGAGGTTTGCAAAATGCCAGCGGTCCACTAAATTTATTGTACGTATGATGTGGTTCATTGATGGTGTTCATGATATTTTATTTTAAGAGAACCAGGACGGTACCTGGCGGGCATCTCCGCGATTTATTAATATTCAAAAAAAAGAGTACACCGGCAGTGATTAAGACTTACACAAAAGAAAAGAGACTGTCTTACAAAGTTTTAAATACTAATCTCATGGCAGCTCTGATTGCAATAACTAAGATGATGCCTTGCATGGATATACTATAATTCCATGGCATCTCTTCCTATGTTTATTAAAAATTAAAAAGGTTAAGAACAAAAACCCCATGACATTTTCTGTTTACTATGCCTCATAAACTACCCTATTCTAAGCTTCCAAAATTATTTAATTCTTACATAGGGGAAAGAACATTTATCCAAAAACCACCTCGTATGGTTGTTGGGATTTCATCCTGATGATTAAAATGATTGGCAGATCCACCCGCAGCCCCTTTTGCTAAGTCATCTCCCATTCCCGATACATATGAATGATTTAAAATTGGAAGCTTCGAGCAAAGCTTGAATTTCTTTGAAGATATAATGTAATCGCCATGGAAATTTGTCCTTCCTGGTGAGAGTAGTGACAATTACCTTGTTGTCCGTTTGCACAACTACTTGATTTATTCTTCTCTCTTTGTAATGCCACAGCTCGTTTTGAATGCCAACTAGTTCCGCTTCGAGGCTACCAGCTATTCCATATATTTGCATTCAGCTCGAATTGCCATTCCTTTGTCATCTCTAAGCACAAAAACCCATCCCGCTTGTCCAGGTTGACCTAGAGCAGATCCATCTGTGTTCAAAATTGTGTCCCCAAGTTTTGGGGGTAGCCATCTAACTGCTAGAGCTTTCTTCCTTGGCATACTCTGAACTTTGACATTATAAACTTCCTCTATCTCATTTTGCTCAACCTCTGTTCTTGCTTTCAGCTTATGAACACTCAGAAGATTGGAAACATGAGTTAAGACAGCCTTCAGTAAGAGCTAAGAAGAGAAAACTATACCTTCATGTACTATTTTATTACGGAGCTTCCAAATTTCCCAAAGCAAGAATATTGGAACTACCATAATAATAGTTTTACGTGCCGTTGTATAACTCCCAAGTGAATGACATGCTTGGAGATTGCTCCACTATCCTATATGATTAGAAGATATAATTCCAAAAGTGGTAGCAAAAGTAGTCCATACCTGAGTTATCTTTGTACAACCATAGAAGATGTGATCAATTCCTTCTTCATCCGCTCTACAAAAAAGGTATATGGGTGGATTTGAATGAAAATTCATTTTTTGCAAAATTTCTGGGAAAGGAAACAAACGGTTAAAAAGTTTCCACGTGAAAAAAGAAAATTTCAAAGGTAAAACTATGTTCAAAAAATTTTTAAGGCATGCAATTTCTACTCTTTTTTCTCTAAATTTTGAATAAGAACTAGCAATTGAAAAACTCCCTGTTGGGTTTGGTGTCCATGCTAGATAGTCTCGATCTTCATTGAACTCCATTGATAAAGACGATAGTCTTTATAGGGTTTGAGGTTGTAAGGTATCCCATAATTCCTGCAAGAAAAAATCCTTAGCATTAAAGAATTCTTTAAAAGTTAAGTTCAGCCAAGGAGGATCATTTTCAACTTCACTTTGTAGAAACCCTAATCTTGTCCACTTATCGCGCCAGAATGAAGAAGAGCTGTTGTTAATTATCATCTCGCATTTTGAAGATGATCTTTGCGCCACCATAATTACCTCTTCCAGCTGGTTTTCTCTTTTGCCTATTCAGACAGAGAGGATACAAATCTGGCCCAAACTCCCTGTTTGTTGTTATCTTCCACCATAGTTTCGTGGAAAAGGCCTCAATAGTGTCTTCCAACTCGCGAAACCCTAATCCATTCTCCGCTTCCGAGAAAGTCATTTTATGCCAAGCTCTCCAGTGCCTTTTGTTACCGTTATCATTCTCACCCCAAAGGAAAAGTTGACACTTCTTTTCTATATCCTCTATGATTAATTTCAGAGGAGTAATCGCTGCTATTGTCTGAATTGAAATGGCTGAAAGTACATGCTTAATTAAGATAATTCTTCTGCCCACCGATAGCATTTTGTTTTTCCAATTCCCCAACTTTGCGTCGTCTCTAAAACTATATAATTTTTTTTTCTCATCGTCTCTCTCCTGCTCTCGTCGCACATTAACCGTCTAGGCTAATGTACGCCAGCCATGGCTAACAGGAAGACGCGAGGGAGGAAAGCACAAAAAGACCATAGCCCAGTAAGGAATGAAGAGAATGGAAGTTCTACACCAAAGGAATTGATGGAAAAGAAAGTAGATCCACGGGAATCAGAGGGAAAGGCAAGCGCATCTAGGGTTTGTCTCGAACATGAAGATTCAAAAATGAAAGAGGATCTAACCAAACAGGGCAAGACCTTGAGTGAAATGGGTATCAATACATCGAGGAAGCTTGATTGGTCTGCAATTATTGAAAAGGAAAAGAGAGAAGGGTCATCTCAAGGGGGAGCAGAGAGCGTGAACAAACTGAGGAAAGGAGGCATTCCTCTGGAGTATGTGGAGCCAAAGAAGCAAGATGGGCATTTGATAGCGGAAGTACAGAAGCTTGATTTGCAACGGCAGGTGGATTACTGGAAAACCTCGGTAAATAAGCTTTGCTCTTGGGGCCAACCCTCCCTACAAAGTCATGGAAGCCTATTACCGTCGAATCTAGAAACATCTCAACATTGACAAGGTAGTGCTCCTCCGTACTGGTCCTTTTGTAATTTGTTTCCATACTATGGATGATGTGAATGATGCTTTATTGGAACCTATACAATATTTGGGTGCCATTCCTGTGATAATTAAGCCCTGGAGAGTTGAAAAGGGGGCCAATTATAAGGAGATAAAACATGTTCCAGTGTGGGTTCTATTTTATGTACTGGAACTGAAGTATTGGAATCCGGCAACGTTAAGTCGGATTGCAAGCACACTTGGGCGACCAATTGCCACTGATGAACTAACAGCTGCTAGAGATAGAGCTGCTTATGCTAGGGTTTTGATTGACGTGGAGATACAAGACAAACCACCAATAGTTGCTTTTTGGATGAAGAAGGGACTTTGATCGAACAAGATATCTTCTATGAATGGCGTCCTACCCAATGTAGGCACTGTAAAATCTTTGGGCATGGGGAAGAGGATTGCCGGAAAAAAGAGATGCCAGCTGAAAAAAGAAAACAGGAGGCATTGAGCAATATAAAGAATCTAGGCAACTCAGAGTGGAGAAGAGTTACAAAAGGGAAGGAGGTGAGTATGGGGGAGGAACCGGAACTAGGAAAAGAGAATAGAGCAGGTGCAGGATCACAACAGCAGCAAGCATCACAGAGTACATGTCTTACTAGTAGGAATGGGATGGAACTGCTAGCAAAGGAGGATTAAGCAGAAAAGGCGAAAAATGCTGAGGAATCAAGCCAAAAGTTGGCAACCAGGAAGAACATGAGGAGAAAGGAGAAGGGAGGATCAATGCTAGAAGTGATAACCCCATTGATCCAGGTATCTATGATTAGAGTACTACATTGGAATCCTAGGGGCTTAAACAGCTCTATAAAACAAAAAGTAGTAAGGAGATTAAGTATTTTATATGATGTTGATTTGATTAGCCTGGTAGAAACAAAATTAAATAGTAGTAGTTTACAGTCTATGCTGGTAAAGTATTGGCATGGATTTGAGAGTTGTAGCAATGCTAGAAATGATGAGAAGGGTAGAATTTTGATTATCTGGAATTCAACAAGAGTGAAAGTAGATGTAATACAACAAGGGAAACAACACATACATTGCAGAATAGAAATGCTGAATAGTACGGAGGCATTTTTCTATACTGCAGTGTATGGTGCAAACCAACAATCAGAAAGGGAGACACTATGGGAAGAGTTGATTGGATTGGCAGGCAGTATTGTGACAGAATGGTTAATTTTGGGAGATTTCAACTATGTACTGGATGACACTGAGAGGATTGGGGGAAATCTAGTATCACTCCATGAAATGCAAGGGTTCAGGCGATGTGTAGAGCTATGTGAAGTGCAGGATATGAAGCAGCAAGGGCCAAAATTTACTTGGACAAACAAACAAACTGGAGCTGGCAGAATTTGTTCCCAGATTGATAGGTAATGATCAATGAGCAATGGCTGTAAAGATACCCAGAATCAACCGTCACTGTTGCTGCTGAAGGTGTATCAGACCATAAGCCTTTGGTAGTATATAGTGCAACTTAGATACATAAAGGAATCCCATCCTTTAAATATTGCAATATGTGGAGTCAAGAGAAGGAGTTTAAACCGAAGGTGCATGAATCTTGGGAGATACCAGTTGAGGGAACGCATATGTGTCAATTAGTGCAGAAGCTATAGAGATTAAAACCAGTGCTGAAAGAATTGAATAGAGCAGTATTTCCAGGCTTACAGAACCAGCAGCAGCAGGACCTATTGAACTTACAGAGATGCCAGGAGTTACTTGCTAGCAGAATGAATGATGAATAGTTGCAAATTCAGGAAAAAGAGCTGTACAATAAGTACTTGACCACCAGTAAAGCCTACGAGAGCTTTTGTTACCAGAAGGCCAAGGAGCTGTGGATCAAACAGGGTGACTCTAATAGTTCGTACTTCCATGCTAAAATGAAAATCAGACAGATGAGAAACATAATATGTTCCTACACAGATGAAGAAAGAGAAGTTGTAAGTGAATGGAGCAGAGTTAAAGAGCACTTTATAACATTTTATCAGAAGCAGTTAGGCCAATGCAGTGATAGGGTGAAGTCTCATAAAGATATATATAGCAAAGGGCTTTTGCTAGGCTGGCAACAACAACTAAGTCTGCTGAAGCAGGTTACCATAAAAGAAGTAAAACAGGCAATGTGGGGTATTCATAGTGGCAAAAGTCCAGGCCCTGACGGTTATGGCAACGTTTTCTACAAGGATGCTTGGGAAGTGATAAAGGAAGATGTTTTCAACGCTGTGCTGGAATTCTTTGCACAAGGAGCTATGCTAAAGCAGGTAAATTCAACCTTAATATCCTTAATCCCAAAAAATGATACCCCTCAAAATGCTGCTGAATATAGACCAATTGCTTGTTGCAATGTGGTCTATAAATGTATTTCTAAAATATTATGTGAAAGATTAAAAACTGTTTTAGTAGATTTGGTTGACAGTAATCAAGGAGCCTTTGTGAGTAATAGGCTAATATTACATAACGTATTACTCACTCAGGACTTGATTAAACTGTATAGGAGGAGAAATATTAGTGGGAGGTGTTTACTGAAAATTGACCTCAAGAAAGCTTACAATTCAGTTGAGTGGAGCTTTATCGAGAAAATGTTAGAGGGATATGGCTTTCCAAGCTCTTTTTCAGCTAGGGTTAGAGAATGTGTAACAACAACCTCTTATTCTTTAAAGCTAAACTGGGAAAGCTGTGGGTTCTTTAAGGGGAAAAGGGGATATAGGCAGGGTGACCCACTGTCCCCTTTGTTATTTCTTCTAGTGATGGAGTACCTTACTAGATTAATGAAGGAGGCGGTGGAAGACAAAAAATTTCAGTTCCACCCTCAATGTAAAAGTATGAAATTAACTAACATTTGCTTTGCAGATGATCTAATGATCTTCTGCAAAGCAGATGAGTATACTGTAGCTAAGATTATGCATGTGCTGGAGAGGTTTTAAAAAACTACAGGACTAATAGCCAATTTGGTCAAATCGAAGAATTTCTTTGGTGGGGTACCTGATCAGATGCAGCAAAAAATCTGTGAAATCACTGGTTTTAGAACAGGCCACTTCCCAATGAAATATTTGGGGAATTCCCCTCTCTCCCAGGAAGTGGACTCAAAAGGACGGTGAGATGTTAGTTCAGAAGATTGTGGGGAAAATTAAATGCTGGAGTACACGGCCTCTCAGTTATACAGGCAGGCTGCAACTAGTGAACTCAGTTCTATTAGCTGTTAGTAACTACTTGGCCTCTATTTTCATTCTTCCACATAGTGTTACGCAGCAAATTAACAGAATGTGCAAACGCTTCCTTTGGGGGATCAAGGACACTAGAAGAAGTCTTCCGTAGGTTAGCTGGGATCAAGTGTGTAGAAGGAAGCAAGAGGGAGGACTAAATATTCATGATTGCCAAGTCTGGAATGAAGCTATGAAGGAAGATAACTTGTGGATCAAGTGGGTTCACGAACAATATATAAAACAACAAGACTTCTGGCAGATACGACCAAAGCAGAACTCAAGTTGGCATTGGAAGCAGATGCTCAAACTCAAAGAAAGGGTGAAAGATGAATTTGAAAATTTAAAATGGAAACATTCTAGCTCAGGTAAGTACACTGTCTCAATTGGATACAATTGGCTTATGGGAAGAGGTGTAGAAATGCCTGCTGCTGGATTCATCTGGTCAAGATTTTCTGTCCCAAAACATACTTTTATCGTATGGCTGTTTTGGCAAAATAGGCTGTTAACAAAGGAAAGGCTGGAGAGAATGAATATATTGAGGGGTGGATAGGAATGTATATTCTGTAATTCTCAAAATGAAACTTTAGAGCATCTATTTTTTGGCTGCTAGTTTGCTTCAAACCTACTGAAGGAAATATTGACATGGCTGAGAATTCCTGGTATGTCCCTGGACCTGAATACTTGGAAAATGCAGCTTATGAGAAGATGCAAAGGGACGAAATTGAAAAGAAGGATATTTTATGCAGCAATGGTAGCCGTAATTTACCATACATGGCAGGAGAGAAATGGTAGAGAATTTGGGGGACAAAATAGAACTGTTGAGGAGGTGGTCAAATTTATTAAATAGGAAAATTTGTGGAGGTTGGAACACTATTTAGGTGCAAAACAGAAACCTAGAGATCAAAATATTTTGCAATCTCGGTTTTATAGTGTTTGATGTATAGTTTCAAATTTGTAGTAGTCCAGAAGATAGGCAATAGCAGAGACAGTTTTGTTGTAAATACAAACGTTCAAATCATATGATTAATATATTTACATTTTACCAAAAAAAAAAACTTTGCGTCCACCGACTCCAACAAGTGATGAAAGTATTCAGCTTTCTTCCTTCCCTTAAAAATATTACTACCCAAATATTTAAATGGTAGAGTACCTTGAGGTATTTGTAGCTTTTGCGAAAACATTTGAATATGCTGCTCGCAACTCTTCTCTGAAACAAGGAAGTTACTCTTTTGCTTATTCATTCTTTGTCATGTAGCTTCCTCATAATCTTGGAAGAAATTGTTGAGTTGCACCATAGTATTTTTCAGACCTTTGGAGAAAATGATAAGATCATACGCGAAATATAAGTTTGATACTACTTCAGAACCCGCTGGAGCACCATACATTACTATCTTCCCTTCCGCCACTAATTTCTTTCCGTGTTAAGGGTTCTAACAATAAGATAAAAAGGTAAGGAGAGAGGGGATCCGCATGTTTAATACTACGTGATGCCTGAAAGAAGCCAGCTGGAAAGCCATTAGCAAGAATCGAAAACCAACTTCTTGAGAGGTTTGATATTATTAGAGAAAAATAAAGTGTGGATGAAAGTCAAACTTCAAAAGTATTTCCCTTAAAAAGCTCCACAAAACTCTATCGAATTCCTTCATCATGTCTACCTTTAAGATCAAATTCCCACCTCTTCTTTTGTGATCCGAAAATTGATGAAGGTCCTTAGTCATTAGAACATTATCCATGATGTCCCTTCCTTCAAAAAAGGCGGAT